AGGGACTAGCAAAAAGAAGGGACATGACAAGAAACGATTTCTATGGGAGCGGCTGCGGTGACCATGGCCGTCCCGTTATCATTGTCGCCGGTACTTGGCCCGGGTATAAGATCACGCCGGCGTGCGGATTTGAAAAATTATCCATGGCTTCGCGTCACTGCCCAGTTGTTCTAGCTTCTAAAAGAGTCTAGTAGCGTTTTGTGGCTGCTGCATTGCTGCCGGCCCCGATGCAGTATCGTTCTTCCTTTCCGTTGAAAGACTGTCAGTGTCACTAGTACGGAGCCAAACACCCTACCATTGTCAACTATTAAAGACCAAGGCTATGCTATCTTTAACTCGCCGACATTTTACGCACTGCAGCAGTATTCTGCGGTCTTTCCTCCCCCTCTTCCTTTCTCCTCCGCTCTCCCTCATATACCCCCCCCCCCCCTCTCTCTCTCTCTCTCTCTCTCTCTCGATGTTCCCCTCGCCAGGCAAAGCTACGACAAATCACGTTCTGTTCTTAGGACGATGCTGCGCGCAGCTGTAGGACGAACTCTGAAGGTCCTGGCACGAAACCGCGTCAGTTCGGATAGGCGTATCCTCGATTGGTAGTAATCGCTTAGTTCGTTAGCTCTCTGTTTTCCTAGAAAGTCGTATGCACACAGTTCCCGTCCGGATCTATTAGATGTGCATGACGTGAGTTGGTTCCGTGTTGTTCCATTTGCGCGTGAGCAGGGGCAGATCTTTATTTTGACTCCAGAGAAGCTTGATCTAGATGAGACGGTTGTAAGGTCGATGGTAATTACTTTTGCTTTCGTTCACTCGTTGTTCGCTTATAACTGGCCCGGACAGGAAAAAACCGGAGGCCGATTGAAAAAAAAATCCGAGAAAGCAATTCCTGTTCGACAGAAGGAAGCGGTTCTCTCGTGTTTCTATCGCACAGTTCCGCGACGCCAGTAGTAATGATTGTTCAGTTGTAATAGTTGTCTAGTCTTATAGGCGGAATGGGAGAAACCTGGAAAAATGGCCCAACTCACGATGCAGAAAGGTGCGAATGCCTAAAGACGCATTTAGAAAAAGGGAGAAAATGACGCATTCTTAATATCAACAGCTCTGATCCTCGTTAAGGATTTTCTTTGCAGGAGCAGTTACACAGGCGGTACGGAGAAGCTTCATCCGCGTTTTTACTATTTTCTTTTATACTTATTTTGGAGATTATTAGGTATTAGTTTTTGTGTTTGTGGTCGGACATAAAATGTCAAAATACGCTTAAATGTCCACTAAACAATTGACGGGATGAGCTAGTGACGGCGTCAGGTTTAGTCTCTTCGAGAAAGCGAACGATAAGCTTAGTTTCATTTGGATCGTTTGTCAATGTCATGTTCATATCGTCCGAAAAAAGTGCACAACCTTCTTTGCATTGGCACATCTTATTCACGTCTACAGCCAGTTGAGGCGTTCATTATACTGCTAGAGTTATACTTTTTACTATGATATATTATGAATCCTACTATAACTGTCGTTGGCGCGCCCGTTCAGTACGGTGTGTTCCTTAAAAAACATAATACAGAGTGAAAACGGCACGTTCTAGCATACTCATCACAGTTTCGTGACGCCAGAGATATAACACACAGGGAAGTCGTTCAGTTTGAGGCATTACGTTCACCGTTGACGCATCTAGCGGGTCGTCAAGTGTGACTACTATACCCCCTCCATCAGAGCGTACGTAGGCAGTTACGCATTAGAGCGCACGGTATTGTACAATGAACTCTGTTGTGATAAAGGGTAGCAGAAATAAAGCAGTCGGTTAGCGCCTATCTAAACATAACTTAGTTAGAAATGAAAGAGGCTTTTCGTCCATCACTATTCAAAGTTGTGATATTGCCGCTGACGCTGTTATTGCCGCGACTATTCCTTGGATCGTCGCACTATTCCTCTACGGATGGCCACGCTTGGTGTGATGATCTTTACGACGACGATGACAATTTTGCGTTGGCTATAGCACAAGTAAGCTACTGTGGAAGGAGACGAACCATATGAACGTAGCGTTGATATGTTTCTAATCATGTTGAGACGGAGTGGCCTCCCAAATTGCTACGACGACGACGTAGATGACAACTATGATTTCGCTATTTTTTCTTATTGTAATTGTTATGGTCATTCTCTGTTCTAGTGGGTTTTCCCCCCACCCCACCCCACCCCACCCCCCCCCCGACAGTGAAGAACAACTGCATCCACAATAACGCGTGTCGGTCTATGTGTGTATGCTTCAATGCCAGCAGAGTAACTTAGAAACAAAGTCGATTGGTTGGTCGACCCATCCCATTGGGACTAATGCAGCGATCCTAAGCGGCATAGCGGGAGTTGGAGGCTATACAAACTTGCCAAGTCGTCTTTGGTTCTTGAATAGGAACGAAAAGAGCACAGGCAAATGAATTCGTGTTTTGTGTGATTACTGCAACTATTACTAGTGAGATGAGCGCCACAAGGCAAAACGTAGCTACAGCGCTAGAGCATGAGTACGGCGTGTATACGGGGAGCATGCAGTAGTGGATACCGGCAGACATGTAATATAAAGTAGATTTCTGGCTTTTGTAAAGTCGTCATTCTGTCGTCATCGTCTTTTTCCTCTTATTATGCTTCTACGCATTTAATCAGTACAAAACATCTAGATTTAATGGCTACCCACTGTAGTATCCAGAAAGCTTAGTCATAGATAAATGTTTGAATCGATGCCTCGCTTTTCAACTATTATCTTTCTTATTGTTCCCAGTGTTTATAGAAGAATATCCATGCAGTACTATTTCTAATCGCATTTTTACCCGTACGGGGCACGGATATATGGTGGTGCTTTACTATGTTCAGTTTACGCCATAAGCAAAATTATTCACAGCAGCTGACTGACGTCCGACACAGACATGAAGAGTCTACAAACAATAGGCACAATTGTTTCAGACACACACACACACACACACGCGCACACACGGGATGTTATGTTCTATGCCCGATCTATATGTTTGTATCCATAATGAATAGATTGGCTGCTGTTTGTCGTGCCGTCGCTTCCACCTCCCCTATGTCTTGCACGGGGAAGAAACCTATTCCGTGACACGTTAGCATCCGCTAGCAGCAGAAACAGGCTAGAGCGCAGACAGGATAGGGAATGAGGGCAGTAAATATGCCACATTATTGTTACCCAAGAAGATGCGCGTCTTATGGGCTGCTACCTCTACATTTTCTATTGTTGCATAACAAGGAAACTAGCACTGAGAGTTTGCCAAGTAAAGAAATACGAGCAATCCTTTGTTCTAGACTGTGATTGCGACGACAGATTGGACGACGAATTGACTTACAACCTATTGACACCCACTGGATAAACCTTACGAGCCTCTTATAAGAATGCTAGCCGGCTTTTTCGGCTAGATGAAACCATTTCTAGTAGCAACCTAGAAACCACCTATATAGATTATTCGGGATGTCTATTGGTGGCTATGGGTATGACAAAACACGTCTTTATTTGTCCTACAAAAAACCATACATATTAGGTCTCTCTAGCTATCTCTTATTTTTAGTGTATGGCTCGATATTACAGATCTCTATTTAGATGTGCTAAAATCACTTACGTTGTACCATAGTGGCTAGGGCGGATGTATGTCTTGCAAACATGAAATTCTTAGTTGAGACTCAACATTTTGTCCAATTACTTGAGTTACTAGTTTAAGTTCATCGTGCACCTACGTTGGACCAGCATGAGAACTGTTAAACTACGTTCTCACACTCATTCATCACTTGTCATGGAGAAAAATCATCGCGAAGGCCAGTGTTCAGGCTTGCTCTTGGGGTCACTTGAGGTTAAGGTCTAGATTTACGAAAACATTGGCTAATTAGTTGATTACTCGCTTAATTAATTAATCGAAACAGGCTGAAATATAGAAAAGAACGCATATAAATGAAAATGACAGAAACTGGTCTTTGACCTAAACAGCATTCAGTCGCTGTTATGCATTCTGCATATATAGTTCAAACCATTTGATCCTCTGTTTTCCTGAATTTTACTAAGATTCCTCTCAACAAATGGTGTATGTACATATGTGTATACATGTACTTAACCACAATGACCTTTTTTTTTTCGATCAGATACAACAGGCACAACTATATTTTCTAGATGTTCTTTTATGCATACATTGGACGTTATGAGTTGATGTACTTGAGTGATGTTCCGGTCGCGCCCTTCTTACTTTATCCATATGCAATCATCCATAATATACTATGAAGCTGCTATAGCGTTTTACACATAGAACTAACGAAGCTAGAAAGTATCGTTTCGAAATATCGTCTTCCCTGTCGAATGAATGAACGCAAAGCACTTTTGGGTTAGTAGATGGAGGAGGCCACACTCGCTGCCAGAAGCAGCCGTCGGAATCGGCTTGTCGAGCTGCGCCGGACCAAAAACACCGGATGGACAAAAACTGGATTATGGCTCCGTATACAATCGGGGCGTGCGGAATCGTGACGGCACTCTACAAGCTTGTCTATTGCGTTTGCTTTTCTCGTCTCTTTGGGGGTCTGCTTTCACGTCGTTGTCCTCTTCGCTACGACTGCGAGATTTCATATCGAGTGAGCTACCGCGGAGATAGCTTGAGAGATGAGTAGTTTAGCATGCTAAATCCGATGCGGAACCAAAGCCAGAAGATCTTTAAACAATGTTTAGCGGTACTCAAGACGGATAGATAGACAACCGAAACCTAACAAACGATAAAGTGAAATCTAAATGGCCAGAAACTAATGGAGCTGGAGGAAGCCATCATTCAACTTTATTTATCTCTGTCTCTCCGTTTCTATTTATCACTCCATCTCTTAAGGACAAAAGGATATAGGAACTCACATGTACCATTATCGGGGTGTTTGTTGCTCAAGAGCGTCATTGTTACTAACTACTATCAGCAATCATCAGCAAATGCATGAGGAGCACCAGTGATTTGAGCGATAGCAAATGCGCGACTCTTTTCTTTCGTGTCGCGCGTTTACCTTGCTAAACAAGCAACGAGAAATGGAAGATTAGAGTCCAGTTTCCATTGTCAAGCGCAATTTTCTCGCGTCGACTAGGAGGGCCTACATGTATGTTCGACAAACGGCCATCACTCGAAGCCGTTCTGAATATTTGTTTTACTTTTAATTTAGTTTATTATTAAGCTTGTTAGTGCATTATCACCAGCTGTGCTTGCTATATCCTGTAGTTACTTTCATCGGAGGAACTGATGCTAAACGTCCTGCAAGGGCGTTTACTGACGTGCACACACAGTTAGCAGCGGAAAAACCTACGTCGCTACAAGTAGTAGCCAGTGTAAACATCTACTGCGTTGCGGATTTTGTCTCGACGTTGATCCATTGAATTGCGTTTGTATAAGACAAAGGTCTGAATGCGTTGGCGTCATACCAAATCGGTTACACAGTTATATGGGATCGCGACAGCTGTTTCTACACGCACACCAAGTATATGCATCTCCTAATTTGTGCTTCAGTAAGGACGATGCAAGCAACGATCCTCTTGGGTACAAATGTGACAAACAGCTACTACCATTGCAGAGACCCCGTGAATTTGTCCATCGCAGAAGCCACTTCAGCGGAACTAAGACTGCTGCGGCATTTACTCCGAGAAGACGATTTGACGAGAGTTCAGTAGTCAGCTCGACTGAGACTTCTTTTCACAACGATCCCTTATCCTCTTGCCGCTGGCTGGGTGAATCACGACTGAGTCGCTAGGTTGCTGCGTAACTTAGTTAGCAGCAGCTTACCGTTAACGACGCTTTAACCAGAGGCCACCCGGGGAGTTCCCGATTACTTTTGAGCGGCTGATGTCGCGCTTGACAGGCAGGCATACTGCCTCTAACTCTTCCGTTTGGCTAATGATCGCGAGTCAATTCACCTGGTAAGACACGCCTCTAAACAAGCCAATCTGGAACAGGGCGGAAAAAGACCAGAAAAAATAGCGAGAGACAGGAGTTGTTGACGAGCGTAAGGAAAAGACACGCGTTTTATTATTATTAATGTTTAGAGTTTCATTACTAAAACCTATAATAGTTAAAATGCCCTTTGTAGATTTGATGCTGGCAGAATGAGTGGCGATTAAAATATTAATTATAATAATAAGTCTAACAATGTTTACCGTTAGTAGAAATGAACGGGATACGCATACGATAGTATCGTGCAATACGTTATACGTAGTTGACATTATGATTGAATTTTCTAGAAAGCTCTACTCTGAGTATTAGGAAAATGTAGACGTTGATTTTAGGTCTTCAATATTCGTCAAACGACGAGCCCCTAGAAAGACTTAGCTTTCGAAGAACTTTTCCTCAAGAGTTAACGGCGCGTACTCTCATTGTGTTCAAAGCATCCCTTCAGTCTAGTTCACCCTAGACACAAAACGAAAGATAACTATTTATTCCGGTAGACAAATTCCATAGACAGATCATAGCACATGATTTCATTCCATTCTATAGCACAGACCTCAATTGGATTGATTAGCTGCTGTGACAGAACTCCAGTTGTCAGTAAATACTCAAAATCACATTGTATACCATATGAATATCATTATTTAGGAAAAATAACGTCAGCGAATCTTGAAAGTCGAATAGAGCCGGTCAGATTTGTGACTCTGCGGCCAACAGGTACAAATGGCTACAAGGTTCATCATAGGTACTCTAAGAATGATTTTATGCCAGACATAAGGAGTATGCCCTCCTTTGCAATGGCGAACGTCTGTCCTCACTCGCCTTCGATACAAAAGACAAGAGCAAAGAAAGGGCATAAAGGGGGGCTGGCATTCATGAAAGCCAGCAAGTAGTTTTCTTCTTGAAGTCTGACCGCAAGCGTCCCGTCCTACCTAGTTCGGCTCGTTTCCGCCTTGTGCTATCAGCTGATCAAAGCAAGCTGGCAGAACTTGCTGTACACGTGATGAACACCATTCGATAAATGTATCTGCGCTGCCTCGTCGACAGGCGAGCAAGACCAGATTCGACCTTCGCCAGGTCAAGCAGTAAAAAAATCCACGGAATTCGACCTGTTCTCTCGTCGGTTTGGCTTTCGTCCGGACTAGATTGACTCGCGTCTTCTGTGACCTTCTTCTGCTTTTGCTAGTCATGACCCTCGCCGGCTTATTAGCGCGTACAAGTTGAAGAACAAACCGTCCTTTATGCTCTTCTCTCTATTCAACAGATATCGAACAATCTGTCGATGCTGCTACAATTGTGTTGAGGCTCAGCGCACGTAGCATGCACCTTGCACTGGCATGAGCATGACGACCCTGGCTGTGTCGACGATAGTAATACAGTCGGAGCGTAGACGCAACGAATGCAATGAAAGCGGCACTCCTGCAGCTGTTACTGTATTTGCTGAAGGCGCTTAACGACACCACAGAAACGCGACAGATGCACTGGACACGAGGCTAAGCGCTTCTCTTCCTTTTGTGAAAGCACTCGGCAACCCGGAACCAACGGCATTTTTTACTAGAATGCGCCTCCGATGTGCTAAGGGTTGACTTGAGCAGCGGCAGCGGCGGCAGCAGCAGCAGCAGCAGCAACAACAACAACGGCAGCCTCTGCCCAGCCGATCTCTCACTGACGCTCTCGTTTTATCTCATTCTGTCTGACGCTTCTGTTGACGACAGGTTCCGCTCACCAGCAGCACGTCTCCATTAGACTAGGAACTGCAGTCGAAAACTTTCACGATGCCTACCCAGCATGTGTCCTTATCGAGTGCAGAGATTAGGGCCGCGTTAGCCTTCTTCTAGTTCTGTCTGAAACGCCAATTGTGAGCCTTTGTGTGCTCCCTTCCTCGTCCGGAGCTATATGATGGACTCGTTCATGTGAAGTGCAATGGGGCAAACGAACCTCTCTTGGTTCCCCGAGGAGCTATGCCGCCTGGTGCCCAATGTCTCATTGAAACGGTGGCGTTCCGCTTCAATCGTGCTTTGTCAGATGAATTCCATCGGATCGAATCTGACTGAAGCAAACCTCAAGGCATTTCGGTTGAGTCGCGGCAGAGGGCTGTGAAATCATCCTAAGGATGGAAGTACGAGAATAAAGAATACAAATGCATAACGCATAAGGATTCATAGGTCGATATTCGTTTGTGTGCACACACACCCTGATACACAGGACATTTGGAAGGATAGAGCTCGTTGAACGAAATAGACAAGTAAGGACAAGAGCGGGAAGCACGAAGGTGTCCGCTCGACTGTGGGGCATTCGGTAACAGCAATCCGTGTGACTCGGCAGAAGTCGCCAGCGCAACAGAATCCAGGTATAAAAAAAGAACCAACATATCGAATATACACCACTGCTGCTTACGTCTGCTCGCTAATCGTTCGTATAGGGTATTTGAATGACTGTTGTTATATTGGGGAAGTGGGAGCGAAGGGGTTCTGGATGCTTCTGTTTTTCTTAGATTATGCCACAGAAGAACGTAATTGGAAGGGAAAAATCTCTAACGCGGAACCTTTGTCGTGGGGTCATCGGTGACTGTGAATCAACTTTCGTTACTCGAGAACCTGCTTTCAGACGGCTTTTCGGTTATTGCGTGCCGTATAACATATAGCAGCTACATGTGTATGTGTGTGTGCACTTTGCTATCAGGGGTGCCGTCTTGTAAGAGATTTACTGAGAGCGAGAATTAGTGTGAAACAGAAGTGCGAAAACGTGGTTTTATTTAGGAATGAGATCAGATTGGTTAACTTCAACTCGTTCGAACTTTAAGATAAAAGCAGTTAAACAAAAGTCCTTCTCTGCACCAATTGCGACGATATTAACGTTGGTTAAAAATAAGTATATTTTGTGACTCTTTTTTTGTTCCTTTTCTATTTTAGCTAATAGCTACGTTATTATGTGTCTCTACGTAAATACGCTGCATAAAAAAGAATAATGATAGCATGTTCTACAAGCCTCCTTTTTTAACCGAAATCATCATTTCCCATTTACCCAATTGTACAAAACACTCAGGAACATTGTAGCTATGACTAATTTAGTTAACAGCCTCCAAAAGTGAGCTCTATGTCGTCGTTTAAGGTTCATAAAACCTTCCTTGCGATTGCTCGTGAACCTTATTTTCTGCTATTAAAGTTAAGTAACAGTCTTGCGTCGCTGACCTTCATGACTTAACCATGTGTACCTAGATGTTCGGGTTTTCCGTCCGGTACCCTAGCTTGCTTCAACACTAAACGAATTGTATCTGCGATCGGATTCTAACCTGGACAACCACGTGTTCCGCACATTTAGCATGCAAACGCGCTACCCACCACTCTATCAGCGGGATTTTGCCGTGTGCACTTCTTCATGCTTCGAGTCGTCGGGCGTAATTTCGTCACATGGCTCGTTCCCAGCACAAAATGACCCGTGTCTATGTCCGGGTTCGAACTTCGATCACAACGAGTCCCTAAAAATTAGCAGCCAGATTCGTTACCCACGAAGACTTCAACTGAGTGGCCAATTTTTTCACCTTTAAAGAACTCGTTTACCAACGTAACGTCTCTCATCATTAACAATCTACAGTGTAAGGCTGAAGTTAAGGTAAAGTATTGTTAAGCATCTCTGTCTGTCATTGGCTTCAGCTTTCGAAATGACCTGACCGGATTATTCGGTACTAACCACGAAAACCCCTGTCCATTCTACAAGTTTAAAAGTACACTTGATCTCTGTAAAGCAAGATTTCAGCTATTAGTACATATAACAGTAATGCCAATAGTACATACAGTGTATCAAAAATAGTCTGCGAAACACAGGAATACGACTGGAGCATTTAGCTGTGCATGGAGGGCGGTTAGAAGGCTGATTTTTTTTTCTCAGTATAAACAAGAGAATGTCTGATTTTTTAGACAACCAATGATCTCGAAAGAGCTAACAAACAACACCCTCATTATATTATATAAGAAAAAAACACTAAATAGATGGGGCCATGTGTGAGAAACAACAACAACATCAAGCATAATCTGCCTAACACGACACAATAATGTAAACAACAGACTAACACCATCAACTATAAAAGGGTTATTTTGTATAATCGTTTCGGTTAAAGCTATCAGTTAATTGGTAGCTAACGGCCGATTTACTACAGATACAGAGATTTTCTATATGCGCCGTTGCTTTCTTACATATTCACGTCGACAATACGAGGCCAACAACGAGTTGGACAAACAAAAAAAATGCCATCTAAAAGCACAGCATAGACATCAACAAGGTCGCTCGCTGTTTCTCATGGTGAAAGCAAATACTTTACATGCCGTCTGTACAATATGTATTGGTGAGTTACGTTATTGATTTCTCAACCGGCGAGGCTGAATGTTTGCGCATATTCGCGCCCTAACGGCGGCGGCGGCGGCGGCGGCGGCGGCAGCGGCGGTAAAATTCGAAAAGTGTTCGACGTTCTAAACGGGATCATGAACGCGCAGGCCAGCAGTTGAAGTCAGTCGCGCAATCAAAGGAAGAGAAGTCGATTTATCGAGAAGGCCTAAATCGAACGGCTGAATCCTTCTCTATGTTACAAAAAATCACCACCTGTCCTTTATGCTGTTGCTGTCGTTGTTATCGAGATGGCTGTGGTTGTTGTTGTTTAACTGATAACAGCTGGTGCTACGAGCTGAAGCGCATTCCGCCGACAACAAGAGGTTCTCCGTCCTCAGTGACAGCCTCTTCGTCCAATGCCATGCTGATCACCGATTTTTGAGCGAATGGGCGGTCTGACCCGGGCGTTGGGAAGGGGAAATCGAAGCAAGGCGATATAGCCGGTCGCGAACGAGAATTCGCATCGGCGACAGACGCGACGCTGTGTATTTGGTCGCCGTCAGTACTGGCTTGCGCAAAGTGTGCGCTCGGTCAAGCAGTCATCAGAATAAACCTGTCCTGTAAACCCTCGTGCTGCTATCGAATTCAGTCCAATTGAAGTCGGAATGTCTCAATAGCCTTCGCTTAAGTTGGCAGGATCGCCTGTTAGCAGATTACGATTAAAGCATCGTTAGCCAGGCGCCTTGCCGGACAGGCGGCAGCTCCCCGGCCCCAGAGCTCTAGTGCGCGCTCTCGACTCGCGTCATCGTGGTTGTGCTGCCTGACAGCCCTCGTTTCGGCGGGGTGCAATGCCACTTGTTGATGTTTCTCTAGTTATTGATTCTGCTGCTGCTTCTGCTGCTGTCTCTGGCAAGCCTCAACGCTACGAGCTTCAACGACTTGGCTGACCGGCCGGCAAAAAATACTCGGACGATAGATGGATTCGTCCAGTCGGGCGCGAGGATTCAAAAGAGGGGCTAAAAACACGATGAAAAGATGAATAGGGAAAGGGCAAAAAGGAGCGGCAAAATTGATTTCGAATGATCAACGAAAAACGACAACGGTGGATCCAGTAGAAGAAAGGAGAAGAATTATGAACAGGAACGGAAGCCGCAGTTGATGCAGAAAAATGTTTGAAATATCATTCAAAATGGCGACAACGACATCATGATCGTCTCCATAAGCGTTCAATATCGTCGATCGGACCTAATTCGCACATTCGCTCCCGTGGCAATGTTAGCTATGGCCAACGGATTGTAAAAAGACGATAGCTTTTAATCTTGGATTCTGCCGCATCTCCTCTTTCACATGATCTACGATACAAATAGTCTTGATTTGACATGCTTTTCATAAATAAGCAATATGAAGTGTAGTATATATATATATATATATATATATATATATATATATATATATATATATATATATAGTATCATCTAACGAGGAACTCTGTCCTCTAGTCTCCAATCTTTAGCTACCTAAGCTAAAGCATTTACTTGTGTTGTTTTTTATGTATATATATATATATATATATATATCGTCTCTTGAAGGAATATAAACTGGTACTCTAGATGACTGCGTGTTTCGGCCTCATTACGGCCCAATAGTAGCTCCAAGAGCGTTGCTGATTTGAAGGTTAAGGCCGACGATTGAATTGTTCAGGTTTGTTGGCGCTTCTTGTAGGCACAAGATACTCCTGCTGTGCATAACAAGGTCGTCCGTATATAGAGGCCACTTCATTGTTTAAGGTGCGAGGAATAACATTTCCATACATTCTAATACGATCTAGCGTTGGCTAACCAACTCGTTGCTTTGGCTCTGTGAATGGTTAATTTAAGGACAGTTAGTATGCTGAACACTTACGACGTCTTTAAGCTTTCTTTGGTAATCGGTCCCAAGAACACGCTGCTCAAATAGGCTCTGTTAGTGTGTGAAAGATAGAAGAAGCGAAAGATAGCAACAGTGAGCGTATTCAACGTCTAAATACTTTATATTTAGTCTCTGTGTGCGTTAGTATCTGCAAACGCCTGTCGAGTGCCCTCTATGTATGATGTATGTCCGTTGATATATATGGGTACATGGACGTATGGGAGCGTGTGTGCCTGACCGTCTGTATACACTCGCATGCGATATTGGCGAACTGCTCGCTTGCCTGTGCGTGTACAATCCTTGATGGCATATCCCTCATTTATACACGCATCAGTCGCAGTTGCACTGGGTGCCAGCCAACGAGGCTGGCGTCAGAAGTGGCGACATTAGGGACTAGGACGGTTCCGAGTGGCAGGAAGCGTCGAAAGACGAAGTTCGGAGACAAAGGAGCGCTCTCCGGTTACGATGTGAGGCAATGCCAACTGGTTAACGACAATGGTGGCTCTCCGTTCTCTGGCTGAAATCTCTGCTCGGAATTTCGCCTGCCACACTTTGGCACTTAGGCCTTCTGTCGTTCGATCATTCCCTTTCCTCCCTTTTTTAATGCTTCCATGCGAATATGGACCTGAGTGTGATTCTGATGATAGCGGCTGCGGCTGCCTACAACTAGCGCCGGTTCTGTCGTGGTCGCGATCGACCGACCGCCGACGCCGCTGCAGCAGTAGCCGAAAAAGGCGTTCTGTCTATCTAGGAGCCAGTATATCCAGATGGTCTCCAGATGATCAGGGTCTGTTGTCGGTGGGTTCTACAACGGTAGCTACTGGGGCCGCTGTTGCTGGCGTTGTTGTTGTTACTGTTGCTGCTGATGCTGGAGGGCGTTTACTCTCTAGATGACGATGGTGTACATGTTGATTGTGGTTATCATGATGATGGTGATGACGACAACGACGTGAAAAGGAAGAAGAAGGAGCGATGATCAGAGAGTTGAAAGCGAGACAGGACGAGAAGAGAAAGTAGCCGATCAGCAGTTATCGCCGGTTTAGCATTCGCCTGTCGCCGATCTCTATCTCTAATTCTTTTCCGTTCACTCCTCCAGAGTCTGGCGCGGGATCCTCAAACACTTAGCGCTGGGGAAGGGCCGGCGCCAGAGGCTCCGTTTGGTTAGGACAGCAGCATCAGCAAAACAGGGTGCAACAATAGAGGCCGCGTCAACCGTGGCGTCAATCAAGACAACGTTCGCATTAGCAACAACAACAAAAAACCTAAAAGCACTCGAAACCCACGGCAGGAAAACGCCGTGCTTGCTATGACGACGTATGCAAAAATTGAAATTGTAGTGGTGATACCCGTGATGGATGATAGAAATGCCCATGCAAACGCTGAGAGAAACGTAAAATCCATCAGAAATAGTGAACAGATTTTTCGAAGGATATATTACATACAAGCGCCCGAACATGCCGTCAAATTATAGAAACCATATAGGTACCGAGTTGCACGTTGGGTAGATACAAAGAATCGTCTTAATATATTACTCTGTGTGTTTTTTTTCTGAATGATATTTCAATAGAATCCGTGGCTATATAGTATGAAATCGATATACCAAACGCTCGACATACTCATTTAATAATGAGAAGATTTCTGTAGTAGTCATGTAATACTAGGGTGGGAAGGGTAATGTAATCATCGAAAAATTTATGACATAGCTTGACCAGCTAGCGTTGAATCCCGCGAAACATAAACAATAATTTTTTGTCCTAGTTGTATTTTACCATTTAATAGGCCGACGATCGGCCGGTGATTCCATCCTTGCTGTCAATGGACACTGGCATAAAATGCTGGAGACCGATTGTATTGAGCTTTACACTTGACCTTGCTTACTGACTAAAACGAAAGCCTTCGTGATGCTTCAATGTCGTTTTTGTTTAGAAATTTTAGGGGCACATCTGATTTGTACGGTAGCTACGCGGAGTAGGCATGGTACTTGGGGCGAAAGCCAGTTGTCTCATATCATGCGTAACAGGAGTTCAAGACCGAATGATTTCAATAGGACGACATGATAACAATGGCAGTAGTTTTCAATTCGAAAAAGATATATATTTTGGTCAAGCGTGCTTGTTATTGTCGTTGTGGTTGTTGTCGTGGTCGCGTTGGTGGGTGCATCTCGGGTTGTTCCTGTTAGTGACCCGGGTCGTTGTGTTTTTTCTATCTAATCGTTCAAGTTTGTTGAACAGCGGTCTTTTGTCATTCGTTCAAGATAACGACACACCCCTAAAAAATTGGCTTTAATAGCGTGTTGTAATAGAGATGCCGGTTTACATCGCACGTGCTTGAGAACCGATGACGGCTAAGGATCAGTGCTAACCAGCCGGAAAACATCGATCTCATTTGCAGCTCCAATGCTTACTTGAGCGTAATAGCATAAATATATACGTTTTCCGGTAAAATACGCAGTACACACGTAAAGCACACCTTTAATTGCTAACTGATCTGTCTATTCAGGAAAATTACTCCGATTAAATTTATCCGAGGTATACATACATACATACATACCTCGGATTTTAGCACGGAACACATATCGAAATCCATTCACGTTTCATTGTGCAAAGTATCTGGTTCTTATCGTCAACTTACTTATAATCAATTGTTGTCTACAACAAAAAATAAGTTAGTTTCGAGCGAGTTCTATTCGGTATTATAGAAGCATCAAGACAGATCGTAATTTTTCATAGATACTTAACGAATTATATACAATTAATAACTAAGTTTGCTTTTTTCTTTGGTCGCCTCTTTGAAGGACTCATGGCCCATTATATATAGTTCGCTAAGTGTCTATGAAAAAATTCATTACATCATCGGTCTGTTGCCACAAGCGCCCTGCGAACTCCCTCAAAGTATCAAGGATTTTATTACCATACTGCCGAGCGAAACAAATGTATACACGCCATTTAATCTGCCGCAGCATAGAGCATCTATTTGTTCGTTCGCTGTTGATTGTTGCAAGATATTCTGTCCCAATTGTCTGCCAGCACTTCCTATATGTGTACGATATGCGATAAATAATGTACTGTCACCCGGGTGCCTGTCTTATTCAGCTCTTACATAATGCGAACGCACGCGTTCAGAGTGAGTCCGGGCCTTCTGATCTCCGGGTCGAGCGATTAACGCAAGTGTAACTTCTCCGAACACTATAACGTATAGCAATACTTCTACAGTGATATCTGCGAAATGGTCCACTGCCTATCTCTTTCTGGCATTTACACGCATACCTTCCGTCTTAGCGGAAAATCTCCTGTTGGAGGCTTCAGCTCTTGTGGGTAGTGGACAAAAAAGACCAAGTGGGCGAAGTCGCCGAAGGGGAATTCTTGGAGTGCGGCGTTAATTTGGCAAACAGATGGCACTTGTTCGCTGAGCCCTTCGCACCAACAGCCAAGTGGGCCAGACCTGCTAACGCCAACACTAGTTATCGCAGGAATACCGAACCCGGCGGATGCTATTAACATTAGAGCTGTGCCTGCCGTTTTTGTTACAGCCGCCGTTGATACTAGTCCCTTTGTACCTCTATCTGTGTATCTGTTCACAGTATCGGCACCTCTATAGCGTTCAACTTCGGCTATGATTTCTTGCTGCGTTTCTCATCCCGCACAAAAAAATCTGCTTGTCGTCGTTGCTTTTTGCTCTGGGAAAGCAATCCAGACGTTAACTCTGGCTCTTTGCTCCTATTCACTTTATACATACACATTATATCTGTAAGCATTGGATTATCATATTATCAGCTCGCTTGAATAAATACCTATTCTTGTTTATTTTTTTTTGTCGGAGATTGATGTATCCCAACAAGCGAACCACGTACATACATAAGTAGTAGCGCGGACGAGCGGTACTACATAAATATTTACCCCCCGTCCCCCGCCGGATTTTCGACAAAAACAGATAGTCTTTATAATATTGAAAACAAAATACACGCATACAAACTACTTATTCCAAGAGCTATGTTATATAACTCTAGAACAACAGTGACATTGACGATATCGGGATGATAATAAAGCACCTTTATATATATA